GATTCCGGTCAAGGGCACGTACCTTGGTTGCAGACACATCCCCAGTAGGGAGTGTGCAGGAGGCAGCTGGTCGATGATTCTCTCTCATTGGTGTTTCTAACTCTCTATCCCTTTCTCTTTCTTTTTGTAAAAAATCAATAAAATATATTTTTTTGAAAAAAGAAAGAAAGAAAGAAAAGAAAAGAAAGAAAAAGAAATGCAGCCAAGTCCTCCCGCGCCAGCCGGCCAAATGTGTGCACACAAAGCATGCACATACTGGGAGTTGTGTACAACAACCCTTCTGTCCCCACAGGATTGGTCGGCCTGGGAGAGGCACCTGGAGGCCTGGGGAGAGCATGTTTGGGGGCAGTTAGTCTGCACTGATTCTTCACTTATTTGTTCCTCTTCTCCAGGAGACTTGAAACCGTTGGGGGAATGGGGAGGCGGGGGGAGGGGGGGAGCAACATGTGATTTCCACAGAATTCATTAATTCCCATACTCAGCACATGTTTCCTGACCTCTCACTGTGCTCCAGTCACGAAGCAAGTTCTTGCACCCGGGACACTTGTTTTCCAGCGGGGGGAGGTGGTGGTAGATGAGCAACAAATTGGTAAACAAGCAAATGAAGCGCCAACAGAATCTCAGGGCGTGATGAAGGCCACGCTGACAATGTCCCAGGTGTGTTGGTGAAGAATCATGGGGAGCCCTGTCCGGGCTGGCTCAGCGGATAGAGCTTCGGCCTGTGGACTGAAGGGTCCCAGGTTTTATTCAGGTCAAGGGCATGTAGCTTGGTTGTGGGCACATACCCTTGTGTGCAGGTGTGCAGGAGGCAGTTGATCGATGTTTCTCTCTCATCAATGTTTCTGACTCTCTATCCCTCTCCCTTCCTCTCTGTAAAATAATCATGGGAAAGTCAGGGCTTTACCCCATTGGATGTCAGGGAAGGTCATTTTTTAAAAAATTGATTTCTGAGAGGAAGAGAAAGAGAGAGAGAGAAGCATCAATGATGAGAGAGAATCATTGATCAGCTGCCTCCTACATGCCCCCTACTGGGGATCGAGCCCACAATCCAGGCATGTGCCCTTGACCAGAATCAAACCTGGGACCCTTCAGTCCACAGGCTGCTGTTCTATCCACTGAGCCAGACCGCTTAGGGCAGGGAAGGTCTCTTTTGAAAAAGGCGATTTGCACTGAGATCCCAAGAAGGACAGCGATGTGAATGACACAGGAATGCGCATGCCACATAGATGAGATGTTCAGCGCAGAGACTCTTAGCAGGGAAACAGGTTGTGCCCATTCAGAGAACAGACAGTTCTTCAGGCGCCGGGCCCCTCAGGCTTGCTGAGCAAAGGGGAGACAAAGCCACACTTGGTCCTGGAAGTCCCACAAGGCAGCTGAAAGCCTGAGTCGAGCTCTGAGTACCGAGGGAAGAACCCAATGCCAAACATGGGGCATTAGTAACGCTATATCTTCCTAAAGAGAGACTTCACAACTTCATCCTATTTCCCAAGACTTATCGCCCCTCCTCCCCCAAAGTTCATAGGACCTAGGACCAGAGGTGCTGTTTGGAGCCACGCACAGTGCCTCTTTCTGGAATCCAGAGAACTGCTTAGGAAAACAGAACATGCAATCGCTCCAGAGAAGGGCAGGTGGACCTCGGGACAGTATCTGTGAAATTTCAGGGCGTAGGCAGCCTACAGTGCCCCACACTGTGGGAGAAACGCACACAGAAAAGTGAGGCAAAATGGGCAGTGAGGGGGAAGCTGGGGTTCTCGGGCCAGAAACCAAGCCCGAAAACACCTGGGCTGTGCGTTAGAGGGATCTGAAATTCACAAGGGCTCCTCCCTCGCATTAATACCAACACGTCTGAAAGCTTTCCGACATCGGAGTGTGACACCAGGATGCCCGAAACCCCTTAACGCTCTGCCCCCAAATTCCCCAAGCCCATTTCCAAGGGCGGTGCTCCCTCCTGGAGATTCCCTCCTTTCCCCGAGTAATTACAGGAAAGATAAAAGCTAACGTGCCTTCCTGCGGAACTTATTTTTAAACGCCCTTCCTGTCCAAACCACAGAGACGATGTGCCGAGATGATTTAGAGGGACTTGAACTTGTTAATTAACCTAAACAGTCACATTCATCTGCAAGATGCATTGTTAATTAAAACTGTGATTCTCCGTGTGCCCAGGCAGAGGGCTGCTGATGTCAGAATAATTAGATAGTCTATAATGGTTTTCTTGCAAATCCCCAGCAATTAGAGTTGGCGATGAATTAGGTTTAAACTCCCAGTGAAGTTTTCAATTAGGATTCCTCTGAGGGTGGCTTCTGAAGGAAGGTGAGGGTGAGGCCCGGAGGATGGAGGGATGAAAGGAAAAGGGGGTGAGGACAGGCTCTTTGTTTCCTAAATCCTCTGGCAGGGGTCTGAGCTTGGGATAAACAACGAACAGTGGCGTCCACGTGACCTCCAACCTTCCCTGGAAAACAAGTCTCTCTCCTTAAAGGAGCAAACACAGGTCGACCCTTCCCCGGGGTTGTGTGCCCCCAGGAGCCTGCAGTCTGGATTTTTTTTTTTTTAAGTCAGGAGGCCCAATAACTCTCATGCAGCTGACATCCCTGAGATTAAAGGCTTAAGGGCTCTAAAAAAACAGGATCTGTATTCCTGGAGGGTTGCATACAAGATCCAGGAGAAGGGTGGAGTGTGTGTTGGCACGCAGTGGGTTAAGTGGGCTGAGTAGCGGGATTCTGAGGAATGCCTCAGAGAAGGGCCTGAGGTCAGGCTCCCTGGCTCAGACTTTCCAGACTGCCTGAATGCAGCCGAGATGATGACATGGAGAAGCGGGCCCCTGAAGGGACCGGGCAAAGCGGGCAGGGGCAGAATGGGGAGGAAGTAGCTTCAGGGAAGGAAGGGCATCTGACCAGCCCTAACCTCTGATCGGTGGCAGGCTTTCACTTCTGCTTTTCCTTCCTGAGGGATGGGCTGGCCGCTGGATCACCTTGGACGGAGCAAGGAGGGGTTTTCACTTGGAGACCTGAACCGGGATGGACAGCCTAATGATTGAGACAAGGCCAGTGGTCTCCAGTAAGTTTCCCTCGCAGGGGGTTGATACTGAGCGAGTCTGCAAGTCAAAGACACCCTCCCCCTCAACGAGGCCGTCCCCGGGGGAGGGAGCTGGGCGATGTCTGTAGGACTGAGCGGGTGGCCACGGGTCGGAGGGGTGATCCTGAGAGAAAGCTGAACGGGAAATAAGGGGAAAAGAACACTGGAGCACTCAGGAACCGTGTGAACGTCATTTAGGTTTGTGAGTTATTGTTCTTCTTCACTTTCTTTCCGTCCTTTCTCTTTCAGAATGCCTCCGCATCTCCATCATCCCTACATCCCACCCTTCCACGTAGCACACACCCAACAGCAGCTAACCTGGTAGCTACTGAGAGACAGGAGGCGGGGGGGGGGGCGCGGGGGCTTTGGAGGGTGTGTCACCGCACCCACCCAGGACACCAGGACACTTCCCAGGGCCTCTCGTGCTGTCCGCGCAGAATGCTCTAGCGCATCTGCCTCCTGCACTCGGCCAGGGCTCTCCAAGCCCAGAGACAGGCAGTGGGTGTGGGGCAGGAGCCAGGTATGCTCACCTTTGAAAAATGGAAAGTCTACATTTGGATTCCAATGCAAGGTACCCTCTCAAGTTTCCCCAGCTTGTAACTGAGCTAGAGAGGAATTCCATGTGTGTGTGTGTGTGTGTGTGTGTGTGTGTGTGTGTGTGTGAGAGAGAGAGAGAGAGAGAGAGAGAGAGAGAGAGAGAGAGAGAGAGAGATATTTTGGGTAGAGGGTGAATATTCTTACACTCATCACCTAGATGTGGCTGCATAGATGTTGAGAAAAAGCCTCCAGGATCAAGCTTAGCAGCCAAAAACTCAGGGGCATCTAAGAAAGAGGTGCCCAGGGCACAGGGACGGTGTGAAAGGTGGAAGGAAAGACTTGTGTGGGGAGAACAGGCTTATTCCAAGAGCTGAGGTTTGGAAGAGAAGTGTGGTGCATTCTAAGCAGAAATTAATCCGCTCAGGCCTCTGCTCCTTTAAGTTTCTCCTGTTGCACAACTTCTAGATTTTTAGTTCCCTACACACAACCTCTACAGAAAAGATTCAGCACAGAAGCAGGGATAAAGAAAACATAAGTGTAGGAAGTGTGTCATAATTGCCAATTCTATGTCCTAAGAACAGGGATGGAGAGTGGGGTGTGGGGAGGGCTGAGGTAGGTGAGCACACAGACACACACACACACACACACACACACACACGGGTGTGTGCAATTCACACACTAATGGGAAGTAAGCAGACATGTCAACATATTATTATATGTATGCATCTAATATGGATGTGAGTTTTTAACAGATCGAGACAGACAGACGCACATGCTCACGCGCATGAGGGTTCAGGTCATGCTGAGGAATCCACCTCAGAAGAATGACTTCTAGGGAGTGGCTTCTAGATTATCTTGTTCCCTGGACTCTGGGAGGTTCCAGGATGCTTCACTCCACCTTTCCCACTGCCACCCTGATCTCTAAACAAAGCCAGCAGGTGTCAGGGAGACAAAGGCACAGAGGACCGCAGCACAGGCCAGCCAGGAGGGGGAGCCATGCTCTGGGCTCACCTCCGACCTTCTCTGCTTTGCTTTCTCCAGTTTCTAGTCTTCATTCTCTGTGGCAGTTTCTCTCCTTTCCTTACCTGCTAAGCCATCTCTTCTGGTTGTTCAGGGTTAGCTGCTCCCCTCCTGTTCTGGTCCACCTTCTTCTCCCCCATGGAGAGATGGCGGCATCCGCACACCCGGAGCAAACACCTGTGTGCCCTGAGGATGTCGGCACATCAGCCACGTACTCCCCACGCCAGCCAGGGAAGCAGAAGCCAGCAGGCCGGCCTGGCATGAAGCCCAGCTCTCCGCTTCGGTCTCTCTCTCCATGTCCCTTCCTCTCCTCTCCAGCCCCGGACAAAATGAGAAACCAGCAGCGTCACTGAGGCAGCACAGACTTTAATTCAGGCCGGCAGGGAGGAAGGGAGCTGAGATTTGCCTCCCAGGGCATCCGGAGGAGAGGGCTGACTGGCCGGGAGGGGCAAGGAGGGCAGGGCCCCGCGAGCCACCCGGCGGCACAAGGCGGCCAGGAGCAGGGGCCCGGCCACGCAGTGCAGGATCGCCAGCACTTCCGCCAGGGGCAGCAGCAGGTCCAGCGCCTGCTGGGTCGGGCAGGACGACAGCACCAAGATCCTGGATCTCACGAGGGCGTCCAGTCCCCAGAGCACCCCATGGGGCCACCAGAAAAGGAACCAGAGCCACAGCACATCCACCCAGGGACACGGCCCCCTGCCCAGTGCCCTTGTCAGCCCCTTGGCTCCCAGTAAGCCCAGGGGCAACAAGACAAAGACGGCCAAAAGGCTGGCGCTGTGCAGAAGCTTCAGAACGCCCTGGCTGGATGCCAAGGAGCAGAGTCCATCGGAGGTGTCGCTGGCCAGGGTGATGGGCACCGCCAGGAGGACGGCCAGTTTCCAAAGCCCCACAGAGAGCCCCAGGACGAGGCGTGGGACCGGGCCTGCCCTCAGTGTGGGGCCCAGGCAGGCGTGGCAGCCGATCAGCAGGGCTTGGGCGAAGGCGGAGCCGTTCCAGACGAGGTGGGCCAGGTGGCACAGGTAGGTGTTGTGGGCGCCCTGGAGCCCCGGGGCCAGGATGGGCACCGCGACGCTGCAGAGGGCGCTGCCCGCGGCCAGCTGGGTGAGGAGGAGCCGCCGGCCGGGACAGAGCTGCCGGGGAGAGCGGGAACTGAGCAGAGCGAAGAGGATGGCTGCGCTGGCCAGGATGCCCAGGACGCTGGCGAGGATGTAGAAGGGCAGCGAGGACGCGTCCAGCAGGGTGCAGGAGTGGCAGGGGGCCGCCGCGTCCATGCCCGAGTAGTCGTAGTCCTCGGAGGAGGAATAATTCCAACCCTCCAGTTGCTCATCTTCGAGGGAAAGGTGACCCGAGTTGTCGTCGTCGGGGAAGGAGTCCACCTGGGGGGTCCCCGGAGGGACAATCACACATCTAGTTACCCCGCTGGCCTCAGGGGAAGGAGAGGAGACCAGATGGGAGGGGAGGGGCAGAGGGGAGCCTGGGGTGGAGAACATGAGGGTGCTGTGGGGGTGCAGTGGGAAAGGCCATCAGAGTGGATGAAAAAGCCGGGGTGGGGGGGCAGAGGGTAGGAGGGGCAGAGCTGCGGGTGCCGCCCCACACTCACCGGGCGCAGGCAGTTCCCCATGCCACTGCTGGGCTCCCGCAGGCAGAGAGGGAGGCCGCGGCTCTGTCACCTGCTGCGGTCCCCAGATAAGCGCCGGGCTAATGAAGGGCCATCGGTTCTGGGCAGGGCCCTTGGGTGGCAGGGGTGGGGGCACGCGGGAAGCCTTGGCCCCACGCCCACTGCTTGCCTGAACCTGAGGCCCACGCAAGGCATTGGCTCCAGGCTTTTCCTGTTTTGAGGTTGGATCCCACTGGTGGGGTCCCGGGCTTGGCAAAGGAAGAAGGTGGGGACCAGGAGGTGGGTCCTTCCCCGAAGGTGGAGGGAGGCTGAGAAGCCAAGGGCTTTCCAGCAAGGAGGGCTCCTTGGGTTCGAGGAAGGAAGAGGGGCCAGGGGTGAAGTGTGAGGCGGAGATAAGAGGCATGCTGGGAAGTTGGAGGGAAAGGCGGCCGGTGACGCTCGCTGCTCCTCCGCCCCTTGAACCTGAGCCAGGGAGAGAGGGTTCAAAAGCCATGTTGGCGAGAGGAGTCAGTGGTGCTGGGCTGGGCCCTGTGGTGCTGAGGGCCGGGCTCTCTGTGTAGGAGGGAGTCCGGGGTGAGAAGGGCTCATTGGCCTGTGGGGTGGCGTGTGCTGTGCACCGCGCACATACCTGACCCAGGTGTGTGGCTCTGGCTGTTTCCCTGCGAGAGGAGGGAGGGCCTACGGAAGCTCCGTAGCTGGGCATTGCCTCATCCCCGAGGGGTGCGGCGAAGCCCCTGTCCGGACAAGCAGAGCACGGGGGCTGAAAGGCGGAGCCTCTTTCCAGGTGCCTGTGGCCTCTGGGGGAGCCTCAATCGTGTCCGTGGGGGACCCAGAGACTGTGCAGCTCTGCACTGGGGGGCCTCAGGCCTGTGTCAGGCTCCGAGTCGGGGGAGAGCCCCTTTCTCTCCAGGTGGTGACCGTGTTTCCCGAGCCAGAACCTCTAAGCCGACACGCCGGCTCTTAGGTACCCCCCCCCCCCCGCATGTTTTCCGAGGTCTCTGCTGATTCTTTCCCCCCCCTTCACCCCCACGTTCTACTTCTTTCGTTCGGGAGCCAGGTCTGGACATTGGAAGCAATGAGCAATGGCCGAGTCTGACTGGGGACGCAGGGGGGCTGCTTAGCGACACTGTGTTGTACGTCCAAGGAGGCAGGTGGTGTCCTAACTTCAGTCCTGCCAGCTGCCTCCTTCCGGTCCCCACGGGGCGCTGCCGGTGGAGCAGGGAAGCCCGGGGCATTCAGAGACGTCTCCTCCTCTCCCCTCCTCCCCCTCCTCCCTCTCCTCTCCCCGGACACTAGCTCAGGATTCCCCTGGGGAAGGGGGGAGGGGGAGAAACGGGTTGGGGGGCCTGTTGAAGCTGTCCTGGAATGATGTTGGTGGCGTCTTCTCCGTCACCTGCACCTCCTCCCCTCCTGTCTGGTGGAAGGCAGGGGGAGCCCTGCCCCAGACACTCGGAAAGCAAGGCCCCAGCAGAAGGGAGTGAGCACACTTCTCTCCCTCGGAGAGCTGTATTGTTCCCATACAGAGTGCCCTGGGGAGAGGGGCCCGGCCAGGCCCATGCCCCCTCCCTCCCCTCTGGAAATGGGGTACCGGCCAGCAGCCCTCAGCCACGCATCCCCACGGGAGCAAAAGCGGCAAGAAGCAGGCAGCCGAGCCAGCGAGCGACACGGTGATCAATATATTGAGGGTGGCCCTCGGAGATTAGCATAGGAGAGTTAGAAAGGTTATAAAGATACACGGTCCCCTCCCGGCCCCCGGCCCCGCCCCCGCCCCGACAGACACACAAACACAATGGTCCCTCTCCCCGCACTCCCGGTACAAATATGGCTTCTGTGTAATATGGACAGAGTGATTGAGCTCAGAGAGGCAAAGTCAACTTCCCCGAAGCGGTGCTAGGAGACAGGAGCCGCTGCGAGGGGGGGGCCTGGGCTTGGAGGGGCTGCCCGGTGCCCAGGGCCCTCACCCACTGCTGGGAAAGCCGCTCACTGTGACCTGAACTGGGGAGGGGGGCGGGGAGGCCTGCAGGTGCAGCCACCCCCCCTGTGCACACCCCTGGGTGTCAGCGGGGAGGACATGCCGAGCGAGGGTGACAGCGGCGCCAGGGGGCATCCGGGATCTGAGGCCGGGCGGCTGGCTGGACCGGGAGCCTGAGCAACTCATCTCTATGGCAACCAGCTCAGGCCTCAGAGGAAGACAGACAATCGAAAGGAGGGGTGGAGGTGGGAAGAAGGGACGTTTCTCTCTCTCCAGCCCTCAGCTCACCGGGCACAGAGGTGCCAGTAGTGGTATTAGGGTTGGGGCCAGGGACATGCCGAGGGCACACAGCAAGGCGTGGGCCTGACTCCACAGCTCCGAGAAGGGAGACGGGGCCGAGGTCCACGCTCCGTGTTGTAGGGCGAGACCGATGGACAGCTGAGCACGAACACGTCCCGGGACTGCTTTCTCCATGACAGGTGCGCACTGGGGGTGGCATGGAGGTGCCAGGATGAAACAGCCTCGCCCGGGAGACACCCCGCTGGCTGGGGGTCCTCTCCTCGAAGGCTCTCCTTCCCGGGTCCCAGGGCCGCCACCTGCCGGGACCCGCTCGCTGCCTCTCTCACACACAGATGTGCACACAACACACACATCCACACACTCACAAAGTTCACATTATCTTCTTTGTTTGGGCAGGAAACAGCTCAGTGCAGCGAAGCTCCTTTTAGTGCTTGTGTGGTTATATCTGCCTGGCTGCTGGGAGGGGGGATGGGCTGAGGGGCAGTGTAGGCCTGGGAGGGGCAGGGCAGGGCAGGAGGAGGGGATGGTAAACAATGCCATAGGAGGAGTGGTTGCCCAGCAATAGCCCAGGGCTGGGGCAGTGAGGGTCCCTGGGCAAGGGGAGCGGGCAGGGGCCTTCCCAGGTCTGCTGAAGCCACGAGGGGCCGCCTGGCCCTGTGACCCCACAGGCGGCTCCTGTGCAAAGGGCCTGCTTCCTACATCCGGGGACAAGGGGAGGTGGGCCATCTCACATCCTATCTCTCCAAACCCATCCCTCTGGGCGGGGACCACGTCCTCCCCGTGTGGACGCCCTGGGTCTCTGCCTACCACCTGCAGGCCACTCTCCTCAGGGACCCCGTGGGTTCCTGTTCCAGGGAAGTGGGACTGGAGAGCAGGGAGCACTGTCTCCGTCCACCTACTGCTCTGCTCACAACCTCCCTAGCCCAGGGAAGTCCAGGCAGCTGCTCTGCGCAGAGGACTGAGGGCTGGTGCCAGCCCCCCGCCCCCATAAACCAGCCTGCCCCATCCTGTCCTTACCTCTTCCCCGTCCTCCTCCTCCTTCTCTTCCTCCTCCTCCTAAAGCTCAGGGGCTTTGCTCCTCTCGCCCCAGGGCCCCTGCCCCTCCAGCCCAGAGACAGGTTTGATTTGGGGTTGTTACAAAAATAATAATAACCCAAATGCAGAGAAGCCAAGGAAAGGGCTGAGGCAGCCCTCTCTCCCCACCCCCTCCCTCCCCATTCCAAACCGAGTACAAAACCGCACCCAAAGCAGACATTCTGTACAGGGGTGGGGGCTGGGGAGCAAGCGGGAGGGCGCCCCGGGTGGCTCTGTACAAGTCCGAGTTGGTCGTGGCCCCAGAAGTCCCGTGGGGCCCCGGCGGGCGCAGGGCGCGGCCCCTAGATGAAATACTCCTTCTTGTCGTCCCCGCCCGGCTGCCCGCCTTCCGCGTTGATGATGGCTGTGTCCGCGTCTGGCGCGTCGTCGGAGCCTTTCGCTTCGTGTGTCAGGTAGGTTCCTGGGGAGGCACAGAGGCTCCTCTTTCCAGGAGCGGCTTCCAAACCTCTGAGCCCCCTTGCCCACGCCCCTCCCACCCACCGACCCACCGGCCACCCCAGGCCTGGCCCGCTTCTCCTGGTCAGAGCTTTATTCCATCCCAACAGATCTAGCGTGCACGTGCTGCCAACATCCCTCACCGACCCCACCCCTGTGAATTAGTGAGTGCTGCCTTTACTTAGAGAACCTCAACAATACTGGCAAAAACCTGTGTGTGTGTGTGTGTAGATGTGCATGTGAATCTATGTGTGCCTATGTATGTCTGTGTGTATTATATATATGCATGCACATGTGTGTGTCTGTGTGTCTGTATGTAGGTGTGCGTGCATATGCTAGTATTTGCATGTGTGCACACATATTTACATGCGTGTATAATGCGTGTGCTTGTGTCTCTGTTTGTATGGTGGTGCTAGGGGAATTGGCATGTCGGCTCCCTGTGCAATGCAGTAGAGAGCTGGCCAGCACTTGGCCAGGCGGGGTAGTGTGGCAGCCGCTGAAGTTACAAGGGGAACATCTATCTGAGAGGAAGGCATGTGAAGAGAGGTAGTGAGATGGCGTGCGGATAGGAGAGAGGAAACAAGAAGAGGATGTTGTGGAGACCGGGGGGGGGGGGGGGGGGGGGGGTAAGGAGCTCAAAGGTCAAGAAACAGGAGGCCAGACAGAAAGACAGGGAAGGAAAGACATGGCTCGAAGATGCAGATTCACTGTCCCTGCTGAAGGCGGAGAGCTGTGGTGGCGGAGCGTGTGGGAGCAGCAGCTGGCTGAGTGGGAGGTTCGGTTCTGTGGATGAGGAAAGGGCAGTGCGGTTCCGCCGAGGGCCAGGGGCCCCAGCCCTGCCAAGGTGCCTGCGTTCTTCCTCAGACCTCAGAAGGGCCGACTGGTCCTCGAAGGCCCTCCCTGCAGCCAGCTCCCGCCTCCCTCCCCCCGCCCACCCCTCCTCCCGCTCCCCCATATCTGACCTTTGTGCCGAATCAAGTAGTGGCCCAGGAAGATGAACAGGATGAGCAGCAGAAAGACAATGAACGCCACAATCCCGCCAATGATGGCGTGGTAGGTGCTGGTGGAGGAGGGCACCGGACTGGGGTCTGGAGAACAGGGGCAGTGCACACAGTCAGCCTGAGAAACCCCGTATCCCGGCATCTCCGACCTGGCCACACGCAGTCTCCCATGGCAGAGAACACAGGCTGAGGCTGGGACCACGGAGTGGGGTCGCTCAGCAAAGGGATGGGCCTTATGTTTCTCACACAGTGTGTGGGACATAGCCATGTCTACAGGCATTAATGTGCTCAATCTCCTCCAATTAACCCTTGAAGTTGAATTCATGACCCTGAAGTTTGACCTTCACAAAGTCCAAGTTCATCATTTGAATGTTTAGATTATCTCTTGACCTCTCTCTCTCTCTCTCTCTCTCTCTCTCTCTCTCTCTCTCTCTCTCTCTCTCCCTGGCTGCTTCTGTTTTTCTATTTCTTTCTTCTAATCTCTGGGCTTTCAGAGTATTCCTTCCCTATCCTCCATCCCTCATACTCTTCTGTCCGGGTGATATTCTGAGATGGATTGTCCACAGGGGCTTCTCAGCCTGTTCACCCTTTGCCCTGAGATCATTAGAAAAGGAGCAGAAAAAGACTGACGGACCCCAGAACTGGGCACTCTGTAAGATGCACCTTACAAAAGTGACAGACGGCCACCCCTGTCCTGAAGACCAGAGCTCCTCCCCGACGAAGGAGTTTGAGATCCAGCCAAACCCAACCCTCCAGCAAGTCTCATCAGGAGAGTCTGCGACTGTGTTCCTTCCCACCATGCAGAGGTCTGTGGGAAGTTAAAGATTTCCGCCCTGATGCCTCCAAGGATGGCCGATGTCTCTGCCGTCAGAGAGCAGACCTGTCCTCCAAAGCAGCATCCATGGAGGATCGATGCCCACCGCGCAGAGGGGCCAGGCACGCCCAGGACAGCCCCAGCCAGGGCAGAGTCCCAAATGCCCGGGAATACAGGGCCCAGGCTGATGAGTCCAATGTTACCCTCAGCTTCCATGTGACTCCCACCCATGGGAGAGCTGCTGTTTTTTCCACAGACTCAGCGTGCATCTGGATGCCTCATTGACTCCTTAGTCTATATTTTGTCTCTGCCACCTTGTCTCCTCAGGCTTGATCAGGCCGGCTTTCAGGGCCGTGCCTGTTTGTGCCTTATTTAAAAAGAAAACGTTGATGCTCTGGTTTTTCATGTTCCACTCGGGAGGGAAGGAGACGGTGACCCCAGGGCTCCATGATCTGATGGGGGCGTGTGATGGTGCAAGTGACAGGAAGCAGCCCTTCTCCTGGGTTGTCCGTGAGACCCAATCCACAATAAAAACAAACCCTGGGTAATTTTTCTAGCCATTAGGGAAACGGAAATTCCCTAGACAAACGGGTTCCCATAGCAACATGACCTCCTGGGTCCTCCACGACATTTAATTTCATTCCAGGCAGGTGGAGTCAGCACTGCTTAGGCTATTCCTGCAAGAAGGTGCAGTAACTCATTCTGCCATCAGGGGTCAGCACTGGGAGCAGTTTGAGCAAGACCCACTTTCCAGCACAGGGCACAGAGGGCCAGCAAGAGGCCAACCACGGGGCACAAGAGCTTGCTCTGGCTGCCAATCATCACCCAGCCTGACTGCGGGGAGACATGGGGGTGGACGCTGAACCTCAGGGCCCGTCCTTGCTCCAGGCTTCTGGCTCTGTTTGTTGTGCTGAGACCGTCCCCCCATGCTGAGATCTGCCCGGGGTCAGATCCGCCCCAGCCAGACACTCGGGTCCCTTGTCCCTGGGAGCCTGTCCGTGGGAGAACTGCTGTTTTTCCACCGACTCAGCTTGTCTTGACGCCTCATTGACTCCTTATTATATATTTTCTCTTTCCTACTTTGTCTCCTCAGGCTTGATTAGGTCGGCTTTAATGGATGTTTCACTCAAGGGAGCCTCGATGTTCCCCTGACAATGCATTTCCCTCTTCTTGGGAAAGGCTTGTAAGACTTTCTGGCACGACCCCACTCCACTGCTATTGGGTTCTGCAAAAAAATCTCCTGCCTAGCCCGGCCAACATGGCTCAGTGGTTGAGCATCGACCTATGAACCAGGAGGTCAGGGTTCGATTCCCAGTCAGGTCACTGGCCCGGGATGCAGGCTGCATCCCCGGTAGGGGGCATGCAGGAGGCAGCCAATCAATGGTTCTTTCTCATCATTGATGTTCTTATCCCTCCCTCTCCCTTCCTCTCTGAAATCAATAAAAACATGTATTTTTTTTTCCAATCACCTGCCCACTTTCCATAAGGGAATTCTGCGTTAGCTTGTCTCTTCCCCTGACCTGGGTTTTACGGTTGCACCTTTTGGTAAGAACGTCAGAGAAGAGGCATCGCCCAGTTCCTCTAAAAGATATGGCATCTGGGGAAAGATTCCGACTATTTCTCAACAGAGTACAAACTTATCTCCACATGCGGCCTTGACCCAGGTCTGCAGGAGTATGCGTTCTGTCCCCATCCCCGAAGCAAGTCTGCGAACGGCCTGTTGCAAAGGACAGACATCGACAGCCATACGTGAGAGGTTCCAGGGGTAAACACAGGATGACCATTCCTGCTGCCAGAGTGTGTGGGGTTGGAGACGGTGCCGCTGAGTCCTCATGGCTAAACCAAGGCCTACGCCAGTCCTACACCCTGTTGAACTTTCCTTAGTGCTCATTTCAGGGGGGATCTGCAGCTGAGTCTTCAGGCCCTCAGTGGGGGGCTGTTGTCCCTTTAGTCCACCCCAAAGCACCATCTGGGGTGCTCTCGGGGTGGACAGAGAAGGGGAGAGAGCGGTCTGAGAGGGGAGAGGGTGGACAGAGAAGGGGAGAGAGGACGGGGTCGGGGGGGATGGAGGCGGCTCACCGTTCACGTTGAGAGTGTAGTAGGCCTTGTAGCTGCCCAGGTTGCTGATGGCCGTGCAGCCGTACGTGCCGCTGTCACTCTTGTTGAGGAAAGGGAAGATCAGGGCGCTCTCCTGGGTGATCTTCAGGGGCGGCCCGCTGCCCTCCTTCTCCCACAGGTACTGCTGGGGGCTGCGGAGAGGTCAGGAGAGAATAGGTCAGGGAGCTAAAGGGAAACAGAAATAACCGAGCAGGGAGGTCGGGGGGCTGTTCGATGAAAGCTCGAGAGGGTCTAGGGGCCAGAGACACAGAGCTGCTCAGAGGCAGGGGGGCGGGGATCGTTTGGGGTTCCTTATGGGAACCGCAGGGAACCCATGGGGTGGAGAGCCCCTCCCCCCTTCTGCTGCTTGGCAGTAGAAACAGAGCATGGCTGTTGGCGTCAGGGAAAACGAGAGGCTCAGACAGTACAGAGGCGATAGGAAGAAAGGAAGACGTTAGGTGAAGGTCTGGGTCTGAGAGGGTGGAGTTGTGCTGGTGGCCGGGAAATGACTCCTCTTACACGGGGTTGCCTCGCCCCTCGCAGTGCAGCAGCAGCTTCTGGCCCTCGCGGGGATGCGGAGGGTCCGGCCTGATCTTCGCCGTTGGTGTGTCTGTGGAGAAGGACATGGTGCTCAGATCGCCTTGATCTCCAAAGCGTCCTGTCACACACCACAGTTTCCACACCGGATGCCTCGGGAGGCCCCGTGGCTGTGAATCAAGACTTGGCTCCCCCTGGTCTTGTGACAGAGAGCATTATTGCCATTGAACGTGGCGGGGACTGGTGCTGCCACCTGGTAGAGGTAGGGCTCTGGAGGGTCTGTCCTTGGTGAGGACCTAAGACATGTCTAGCAGAGAGCTGAGGAGGCATGCCACCGGTTCATCTGTGCCTCGCACACTGCCCAGCGCATAAACAGAACTTCATGCACAGTTGTGACAGAACAAATACACTTGAACTTGCCTGTTGAGCTCACAACTTCTCAGTCCTCTCTGTTCTGCAGGGGGACTTAAACCAGTTGAAGACAATAAAACAGAATTTTTAATGGTCAGTCCAAAAATGAAGTGAGAGCATCGAAACAGCAAGAGACAGGGAGGCATAGTTTGGCTGCAAAAAAGGCACTGACACCATAGAGACAGGCTCTGCAAAGGGATATGGCATCTGCCACTGACACCAAAGGGCTGCAGAGGAGGCGAGGTCCAGGCAGCTGCGGAGAACAGCACAACCAGATGCTGGCTCGGAAGAAATGGGTAAAGAGGCCAAGCTTCCCCTAAGACAGAACCAAGCTTAACCAGCTAATTAGCGTGTTTCAATCAAATCAAACGGGACAAAGAGAAGCAGGCCCCACAGGAACCTCCAGCATAGTGCCTGGAGTGTAGCATTTGTCCACTGACCACTGATCACAGGTGGGCCAGAACGCTCCCTGGAGAGGAATCGCCAGATGGCCGGTTCCTGACAGAAGTCTCTGGGACTCCGACAGTGGAGAGCTTCCTTCGCCCTGGCCTGGGCCCAGACTCAGAGGAAGAAGCCCAACGCCAGAGGCCTCGCCCTCAGAACTAACAATCAGAGAAACAAATCATAGCAACCTAGAACTCAAGTTTACCAAGCTCTTCTTTCGATATCGTTTCATTTATCCTCAAGAAAGTCCAGGGAAGTAAGCAGAAGCCACTAAGCGATGACATGCTTTGGTGGAACTAGCACAGACGTAGAGGCCAGAATCCGGGTCATCAGCTTCCAAATTGAGAGTCTGCTAAATGGGAAGTGATGCCACCCCAGACCTACCTCAAGTTCAAGTTTCAGCAACAAGTTTAGCAATGACTTAAATGGCCCTCAAGTCAGGCCTGTATCTCCCAAAAGAAAGAGATTCAGGGTTTTAATTATTTTTGGAAATACACCCAGCCTTTAGATGAATTAGAAGAAAAAGAATACATTATTTTACAACTCTTCATCTTCCAGCTTTGGGCTTTATTTTCCGTCCCCCTTGGTTCCACCACTCAGAAAAGCTGGATTTGAAAATGTCCAAATTTCCTCAGGAGAGGAGGAAAGTTCACTGTCCATTCTCAAGGCAGATTCCTTGGAGGAAGGAGGATCCTGGGAAAGGTTAAGAGTAGTGATGATAATCGTGGGCATGTTGGGTCAGAATCCCAGGAAAAATCAAAGAGCTGTGGTAAATAGAGGAGTACTTAGGAAAAGATCTAGGAATAATGATGCCGGAACAATTGTGCTTCCTACGGCCTGCATTTTCTTGAAACCATCAAAAGCTAGATCAAGAAGAAGCCTCAGTAATCCCCAGGTTCATCTTCTCATTTAGCAAGTAAAGTATCAAACTCAGGGAGGTGAAGCAATTTTCTTAGCATCACCTGGTTCAGAAGTAACGGAGGGCAGACTAGAGCGCACATCTCCTGACTACTGGTTTGCTATAGTCAACCCTCTTCTGGGCTGGTTGCATGGGACAGGCCTATACCAGGGCTTGGCAAGCTTACCCATTGGGTCCAATCCTGCCTGCTACATGGTTTTGTAAATAAAATGTTGTTGGAACACACACTATGTTTGTTTGTTTACATATTATCTTTGCTACTTTCCTGCAAAAACAGCAAAGGTAAGTAGTTGAGAGGGAGAGAGATCATATGACCCGCAAAGCCTAAAATGTTTGCTATTGGGCCTTTTGCTAACCGTTGGCCTATGCCACCACATTTTGTCTCATTTTGTTTTTACCTACCCAGGTATCTGTGCCTATTTTTTCACGTACAGCCATCACCACTTTCCTTTTCCCCACACCCCACCTCATACCGGACTCATCTTCACCCACAAGCCCATGACATACATAAAACCTCAATGCGCTGAGAGGTGGATCTGTCAGCTCCTTTTAGAGATTCGTGGTTCACAGAGCATGTGATGTCAACCCCATCATCCTCCCGAGTAACCTGGAACGTCACTGAGCTGCTCACGGTGAAGGTTTTGCCATTGGAGTCCTCCTGTATTCGGGTTGGTTCTCCTGGAGTAGACACACACACACACACACACACACACACACAGAAACAGAGTGAGCCCTAACACACAGATAGTGTGTGGGTCCCACTGTAGACATACAGATGGTGAGTTTCAACTTTGACAAACGTAGAAAGTTGTGAAACGGATATGTACACACATACACCCATGAGTGTACACAGAATATCTGTCACTCCCACTTTTTCCTTTTCCATCATGCTTTGTGTGCACACAGACATGCAGACACGCACCACTCCCTCTCTCATTCTCTCTGCCTCCCAGCACACCTCCTCCTGTAACCCCGAGGCAGGAGGGGCTTACCAGGAAGCTCTTGATCCCCCTTCCGCCAGGTGAGCTGGGCTGCGGGTTTGCTCCCGGAAGACTGACAGTGGAGGGTGGTCGTATCCTTTTCCCGTAATGGTGACTTGTAGCCAGTGATGATGGGCTTCTGTGGGATTCCTACCAGGCACAGGGGATGGGCAAGATGTGAAGGAGAGGCCAGGAGGTTACCCTGGGCTCTCCCTGCTAAGATGGTCTCTCGGGAAGTGGGGGGAAGGCGGGGGGGGGGGGGATACCTCAGTCCTAATGTGCTTTATGATGGGTAGAAAACTAGGTATCTTTCCCTTTGATCTCCTACCTAAGAACCTGGAAGAAATATCTGAGCAGGGAGGTGAAGGGGAGGGGAGAGGAGGCATGGTAGTATGGAGATAGATTATATGTGACCTGGCAACCCAGAGGCCAATGGGGTGGCCACAGAATAAATATGAAGCTCAAGGAAACAAAGAAGGGAACTGAAATATAGGGTAAAATATAGGAGGAAAGCAGGTAAGCAACTGTGATATTCAACCTGGACACTATAATCACAGGCTGCACGCACCTCCCATGTTTCCCTCACATAATCTTGGGAGCTAGGTGGAACAGACATCATCATCCTGCTGCTACCGGTTAGAAAGTTCAGGCTCAGAGAGAGTAAGAGGTCTGTCCCAGAGCAAACGGTAAGTAGAGGAGAAATTATTAGAAGTCAGTGCTCTTTCTATTTTTCTCCATTGCGAAGGGAACCTGGGCTGAACTTTTCCAAAGGGCTCGGAGTCCTGCCTGGCTGTAAACTCCTTTGGGGACGCACCTAGAGAGGTCTGTTTGTACTAGAGTATGCAGCAGTGACTCTGGGGTCGGGGAACCTCACCCAGCACAGTGATGAGGGACTTGGCAGTTCTCACAGGCATAGTGAAGATGGAGCAGGTGTACTCGCCCTCGTCCGCCAGGGCCACGTTGCTGATGCTGATGCTGAGCTCATGGGGCGTGGACTTCACCAGCTGAATCCGATTATCTCGCAGGGCTGGCAGGGAATCGGGAGAGTGGGAAGCAAGGCTTTTACTGGCACCTTTCATGTTTATCTCCCACCAGCTTCCTTGGGGGGAAGGGGTATAGTGTGATTTGGGGTTGGGGGGGCGAAATCCTGCTCCCGAGTTTCAACAGTCTTTAGGTCGTTTTCCTGGACCACTGTCACAGCAGCCTCAGGTCTACTCAGAAGAGTATGTTGGTGCCGAAACCGGTTTGGCTCAGTGGATAGAGCATCAGTCTGCGGACTGAAAGGTCCCAGGTTCGATTCCGGTCAAGGGCATGTACCTTGGTTGCGGGCACATCCCCAGTAGGGGGTGTGCAAGAGGCAGCTGATCGATGATTCTCTCTCATTGATGTTTCTAACTCTCTATCCCTCTCTCTTCCTCTCTGTAAAAAATCAATAATATATATATATATATATATATATATATATATATATATATATATATATGAAGAGTATGTTGGATCTCGAGGGCCTCCTTGTGAGACTCACAGGTCAACACTTAGATTAGGCCGTCTCTTCCTGCTCCTTCGGGGTCAAGTCCACCCAGGACCCCATGCGACCACGAAAGGCCCAAGTCAGGGCTGTAATAGCCAAGTTTCTCTGAAACCAGCTGGGGAGCCCATAGCTTCTTGTTCCCTCAAACAACCATACTGTCCTCTGCCTCAGCCTCCGGGCTACAGGGACAGTTCCCCTCGGTGCTGCCACCCCCTCCCCAGCCCAGGGTTCCCTCAGAGAGAGACGGCTCTACCTCTCTTCTCCCCGAAGTACAGCGTCTGCTGGGCGGGGTTAGACCACTGCAGGGAGGAGTCCTCGTGGTCTTTCACTTGGCACCTGAGCTTCACCATGCCACCAGCCACCACTGTCTCATCGGATGTCCAGGGCTGACTATCTGCAGGAGTAGAAGAGGGTTAGTTTCCGGAGCAAGGCCTAGTCTCTCCACACATTTCTGGGCCACGGTCTAATCCAGACCAGCCAAGGTCCAGGTCTCTGTGTCTCTTAGGGCATCACGGAGGAAGGAACAGGGGGAAGGAATAGAGGTAGTGGTGGTGGTGGTGGGAACCTTATTTTCTTGTTTGGAATGCACAGGAAAACAGTTATCTTTTGAATATTTGCTTAACAAATGGACATGGCCACACACATTTGGAGGAATAAAAGCCCGCCAAGTCTATACATGCCACTCTACATGTATCGTTTCTGATAGAGGTCTACCATTCACCTTTGAAAAGTCTACGCATTCGCCTATGTATCTGTCATTCTAGGATTCGCCTTCCTGCCACCACCTGCCTATGGAAGCAAGAACGGGAGAAGCAGTTGTGACTAATAATCCCCACACTGACAGCGAACAAAAGGCCGGGCCAGCCCTAGGCTGGCGCGTTCACTTACATAAGCAGCAGCGGATACAACTTCAAGCCACACAAACAAAACAGCTTTATAAAAAACGGAAACAGTTGACACCAACTTTTCAATTCCTCCAACAATGTCTGCCCTTCATTCAACAGCTCCCTTAACATATTTCTGCAGTGTTAGTGCTACCCGCCTCCCAACGTACAAACCCCGTCACCATCCTGGTGTGAGAGCATTGGTTTTCCCTGATGTGGTGGAATTTCCCTCTCCCTGGTCATGTTACACAAACAAACAAGGACTAATCAGATATGATATGGACGAGCCGTTTGAATCCCAAATGTGCCTTCTAGTCAGGCATCAACTGTGAACCCCTTGGACTGCGTGACTCTTGCTCCTTCCCCAGGTGTCATTGCTCCGTTTCCCCCGCAGCATTGCCTTTGATTCCCGTGATTGGTTCCCTCATCTCCAGGACTGACTCTGGGACCCAATAGCACTGACCTTCACAGAACTAAAATAAACACCTCCCAGCTGATTCAGAAACATCAACAGCATTCCTTCTAGGGTGCAAAATCACTTAACCGGCATCACTCTCCTCTGAATAGGAAGCCAAGAAACATCATTCCTATGTTCCCTAATGCAGTAACTCAGACCATCCCTATGCTTCCTATGGCACCGACCGTACCCCTCTCCTGTCTGCTATTCCTTTCTTCCTTGGCCACCACAGCTCCAGCTCCACCTACAACGAGCGCTCCCGGTACAGAAGGTGCACGTGCTGAAGTTGCTCTCGGGCTTCAGGATAGCTGTCTCCATACTGAAGCATAGAGCCTGGCCACTGTTTCAGTGTTTAGAATCTGAATTAGAAAGGGATCGTAGAGACCATGGAATCCAATTCCCTCATTTTACATGTAGACAATGAGACAATGGCGGTGCGGTGAGGGCCTAAGCTCATTCTACTTATCAGTGATTCCAGTTAGGACTCGAACTTCGTTCTTCTGTCACTCGATGCAGTGCTTATGTCATTGGAATGCCCCTCAAGTAATCATCTAATTAGAATTAACGCTATGACTATGAGATTAATGGCCCATAGACGGAGCTGGTGGAGTAAATTTGGGAGTGGTATATTCCTTAAGTATCTCAGTGAAAGATTTGGGAAGCCTTTCACTTACAGCTAGCTGTATATCAATGTTTGACTAGTAATTCCACTGCCCCTGGTTCCTTATGAAAATGTCTACATTGACTATGTCTTCCAGACCTCTTTATTTTGAGCAATACACTCCTCCTGAAATCATTCTATTTTTTTTTTTTGGGGGGGGGGAGGAAGTGAGGGGGCACAGAGGTCTACAGGAAGAAGGAGTGGGTGCTAGGGATGTTGGTGTAGAACTAAGAACTACAATGTCCGATGGAAAGTCGAGGAGGAGAACACAGGGTGAAGGCCACATGAGCGGGAGGTGACATGAGGATGGTCGCGGGCACTGAGAGACACCGAGATGAGGAGGCCTGGATTCTCACCTTGACTGACCAGCATGTCAGGAGTGCTCCAGAGTGTGGAGCTGATGGCCTCGTCGAGTGGAGCCAGAGTTCCCAGCTCCAAATCCTGCTCCTGCCAGTAGCCTGGGGAAAGAATCTCCATCAAGGATGAGCCCTACAGATGCGCTGCTGTCGTGTGGGATCTATACTCTCGTTGGTGGAGGTGGGAGAGAGCTAGGCCCCTGGGAAAAGTAGGTCCACCAGATCGCCCAAGAAAAGGCGGGTTTCTCACCAAAAAAAAAAGTGACATTAACGAAAGTATTGAAAAAGGAAGCAAATCCTTCCTCTCAAGGGTGAGTTCAAGGAGGACGCTAAGGTTTACAGCCAATCAGATCACGTTAGCGCCAAAAGAGCTCCGAGAGGTCACTGGTCCAGTTCTCCCCTTCACAGCATGTGGAGGTTAAATGTGACCTGGGAGAGGTCACTACAGGGACAATTACAGAAAACCAAAGACTTCTCTTTCCTCATCCAGGATTCTCTCTGCTCCACTCTGTTATCTACTAAAATAATGAGAAGTTGAATAAGTAGAAAATGCTTTTGCATTACTCCTTTTAAATGGCCTGTCAGAGCAGCCCTCTGGCATCATTACTACTTTGCAGAGTGAAAACAGAATGAAGTGACTTGCCCAAGGTCATATCAACAGAACACAAAGACCGGAAATTAAATGCCTGATCCAAATCCAAAGTTCTGCTTGCTTCCGTGAAGACCCTGCCTCTAAAGACAAGACACCACGGTGAGGGCAGAAGCTGCCCACAGCCTTCCCAGAGTCTCACCTCTCTATCGGGGGCTCAAATTCTCAAGTGCGCCTCCTTCCTCCTCAGTCCAGTTGCCCGCTTATATCACCGACTCTGCTCACTGCTCAGGCACAACAAATCCCTCTCTTCCTAGCAAGCAGCCCACAAACCATTTTGCCATTTTGTGCCTACACTGTCCAGGGCCTATTTCCCCAATCCAACCTGAAGGGGCAGAGGGACAAAGAAACAAGGGGATCTTTTCAGTCTCCCGCCATAAGCCCAGAAGTAGCCAATCACGTGCGCAGAACTCAGTGAGGTCATCGGCTGCTGAGCAGAGTTCTGAGCTGCTGGCTGCTTGTCCAGACCTGGAGTTCCCGCACTACTTCAGTTGGGGCAGCCTGCTCGGTAGAGACCCTGGGGAGGGTGGTGAGAGAGGAAAGGGCGAGAGGAGAAGGGGGAGCTGGCACCTAGGAGATGCGTAGGGGAGGCCTGGGGAGGGACAGAATGGCACTAAACAGAGTAGTGGCACAGGGGCTTAGGGTCCTTGGAGAAGAAAGGGGCCAGAGGACTGATGTATCAGAGGGAAGGTGGGGGGAAGGGAAAGGAGACAGGGAAAGAGCGGAAGAAAGGGGAGATAAAAAGATTTTCTGCGTTTGGATGGGGGCTCTAAGAGATAGTTTCAGGGTTCACAGGCCTTCATGGAAGCACCCCCTCTCCTGAGTTCCTCACAGACATGCTCTTGGAGATTTAGAAATTACTCTGTTCTCAGACAGACGTGTTAATGCGCAAATGAGAGGGGGAGGAAAGCTGAGAAAACAGAGTCTGTTACAGGTAGAGAGAAGCAGAAAGGGACAGGGCATGTGTTGGTGGAAAAGGCAGCCAAGATGAGGACCAGAGAGAGAAAGGTGGCCTGGGGAGGGAGGACAGGGCTCTCCCACCCAGCAGAGACCCTCCCTGGGTGCCGGGACCTCACCCTGCTGCCTTCTGTGGACATCAAGGATAGAGGCAGCTGGACGTCGGTGAGTGTTTCCTCTTATTTTTCAGTGGCTTGTGTGTTTGTATGTGTGCTGCTTCTACACGCCGTAGGAAGCCAAGAGGTTGTGCTAAAATTTGGGGTGGTGGAGGGAAGGGAGGCAGCGGGGAGGGTCATTGCTCAGCCCACGGTATGAGAACCAGGGTCACAAAATAAGCCCCGAGTAGGCCTCTGCTCAACAGAGAAAATAGCCATCTCAGACCCCGGCATAGGGCTTGCAGTTTGCAGAGTGGATTTTTTTCAACCGTGAATTCACTGAATGTCAAAACAACCTTGAAAGATAAGCAACTAGACATAATCGCTTTTTAGAGACGAGGTTTAAAGAGGTTCAGGGACTCACCTCAAAGCGAACACATAACAACTCTCAAGGACCCTCCTTCTCTCTCTGCTGGTACTCTCCAAGCCTTTCAACAGCTTCTTTTCCTCATAGCATTTCGGCCATTGTCATGCAATTTACTTGTTTAATTCTCAGGCTTCTCATTTAAGCCTTGAGTTGCTTGAGAGCAGGGGGCTTACCTTATTCATGTCTGTATCTTTGAAATTTAGCTCATAGCGGGCCCTGGCATATTTAATCGGTCTGGTCAGTCATTCTGTCGCAGCTGGCACGGTGCTCTGCCTGTTCTTAATCAGGCAGACTGGGCATTCTGTCCCACAGCATGGATTTAGTCTTTACTCTCCTGCTCCTTTTTTCCCCTGCATTCTCACTTCTGCTCTCCTTGCTTCCATTCCTTCCCTCCTCCTGCATTTTTTTTTATTTTTTTTTTATTTTTTTGCTTAGGATGAATAAATGAAATGATGATTGGGTCATTCAAATTTAACTAAATTGTTCAGGTGATGGGACTGGTAACTAAACAAATGATCTCCAATAAATGGCAATATTTGTGATATGCTTGGTGTATCGTCCCCTGTAGGCTAACAGAAACTCTGGCTTGTATGTGTTTTAAGAAACTGCTGGAGAGCTGGATGTCTTATTTGCGCACCTGGGGTGACGGTCCTTCCTCTAATTTTGAGAAATACTTAAGTTTTCTTTCTCTTTGTGCAACATCGTACACCTGTAATGATAATTGATGAATGGCCACTCCGTGGGAGCAGAGGAATAATTATAATTCTATCAACAGGATAAGTAGGAGAAATTATTGCCTGGGTTGTGAAAGGCTAGTTCGTTCTTTGAATTTAGATCGTGCCAATTATTTATGACATCAACACAATTCCACCCATAGAGTCAGGCCGGAAAGGAAAACTTGAGAGAACTCTGAAAGGGCCCCGAGGACTTGGAAGTGGAAACCGTGAGAATTCTCCTCAGGCAGGGGCTTTGGAAGGAATGAAGAGATTGAAACCACAGGACTGTCAGTGAGGGGAGGACCCTCTCATAGAAAAATAGTGGTCATATTGATCATATAGTTTCCATGCACTGACTTCCATTGTCAACAGATCCTATCCAGATTTGATAGCCTAGCCTTTAAGATCCTGTACGGGCTGATGCCAATGTGCCTCTCAGCTGTGTATTTCCTTTACTTCACTCACCCATATCCCAGACAGATGACTCTATTTGAATCCTTTTTGTAACCGCTTTGCTTTCTTGCATACATCCCTATTCCTACAATAGCTGTTGATAATGCCCTTCACCCATCTCCACACATCTAAGCACTATTCATTCTTGAGGCCTATTTTCTGTGGCATCGCTTTCAAAACGTCTCCCCCGATTGTCCCCGGTGAAAATAATTTCTCATTTCCCGGAGTTACAATCCGTTATCTGCCTTCCTTAAATTATGCATCACTCTACTTTGTACTGCATGTTTGGGTTCCCTCCAAAATTAGTCAGATCATGCAGGTAGGGTTGATATCTGATTCATTTTTGTATCCAGCACTGGACCTAATACAGCATGTCACACATAGAGGGTGCTTGAAAATTATGTATTTAATAAATGAAACAGAGAGGCTGAGTGAGCATTTTCTACTGAGAGAACTAGGCTCAACATCTGCCAGCAGAGGCAATAGCAAACAAACACAGTAAAAACAAACAGGCCATCCAAGAGGGTCCCCTATCTAGAGATGAAGTTCCGAAAGTATACAAGGTAATGGGGATCAATATTCACCGGTCACCCTCTGTGTCTCAAGATCCAAGTTAGTTGTTCTATATTCATTATTCCACCCTTTAGTTGGTCTTCTACACATTAAGGGTGAGTTAACTAGGACTCAGAGACTAACTAAGGCTAAGAGAAGCTAAGTAACTCATCTAGATGATGGACTCAAAAGTGTTGAGGTAGGATAGGCTTTCAACTTAGATCTCTCTGACCAGGAAGCCCAGACTTCCTGCACATCTTCATGGCACTGCCTTCTTTCACAGAGCGTGCCTTTGTATTTGTGGTTGTGGGGCGAGGGTTACAGAGGGAAGACTGTTGGCCAAGGGTGGCTCGCCTAAACAATATTCACATCCTCATCTGCAATGTGATTTAAAAACAACCTCAGGACCGAAACCGGTTTGGCTCAGTGGATAGAGCGTCAGCCTGCGGACTGAAGGGTCCCGGGTTCGATTACGGTCAGGGGCATGTGCTTTGGTTGCAGGCACGTCCCCGGTGGGGGGCGTGCAAGAAGCAGCTGATCGATGATTCTCTCTCATCGATGTTTCTAACTCTCTATCCCTCTCTTTTCCTCTCTGTAAAAAATCAATAAAATTAAAAAAAAAAAAAACAACAACAGGAAAGCAAGTTGGAAATGAGTGCCTGTGGTGATGGTGTCACAATCTGAGCCCACTGGTTGTATTTTTTATTAGGTTTCTGAACATATCTTCATCTATACCTTTGGGGGCTATTTTGTAAGAGCCTTGCAATGTGGGCCTCTTCAGTTATCAAAGCTACGGATGTGTCCAGTTAAAACGATGGTCCCATGTTTTCATAGCACTCTAACACCTATGCTAACAACTAACATCATCTTCCTGTTTCCCTCAGTTGCCTTGGAGGTTCTGAATTCTTGGTTGATTTTCCCATGGGTTCAAGTGTCTTTAAGATTCCCACCATTTTAAAGGACAACAGAGCCCTGATTGATTGTTCATATTAAGAGTAGCAGAGGTAGAACTGGAAACTTACTAATATGCCTCCATAAACATACACTGGCACCTGTGGATGAGGTTTTCACCTCGCACATAGTAAGTGCTCAATAAATGTTTGTTGAATAAGTAAATCATTGACTCCAATGAATAAGAATGTATTCTCTCTCCAATTTAGATTATGCTAGTAGGGAAGGCTCTGAGCCAGTACAATCTCTGATTGCTTGGGTCTTATATCTTCCTTGACCTGTCTTGGGAATCTAAGATACAT